TCTCTGTTGTCCCACACAAAACAAAGTTGGTGGAAGGCATAGAAGCTTTGCCCTTGCTTACTTAGGTAAGGTTTGTTACAATTTGGTAAGCAATTTCAATACACTCTGTTTTATATGGTTTTTGTGCTTTTATTTTTGTCTGATGTGTAAGCCCTCTCCTTGGGAATAAGACTGGGAGGTGAATGACACTGCGGACTTCATCTCCTTGCATCACTACACAGGCCCTTCCTGAGCTCCTTCCTTCTTAATGTGTACTGAAGAAGCCCCCATGGGTCAGCTTAGATTCTTGTGTTAACATCCTTGGATGGTTCTTAAAGGTACTAGAAAAAATATATTAAAAAACAAAAAAAAAATCAGAGAAGATGCAGAAAGGATATATTCCATGATTAATAATATTTTTTCTTTGCAGATATGGGAAATGTATTAGAATGGTGAGTTTACTAATAATCTCTGATGTCATTCTTTTAGATTTATAATCTATACAGTTGACTCTCAGAACAACTCTGGATTAGGCATACCAACCCTTCCTCACTGAGTAGTCAATAATCTAATATAACTTTTTTATTTTAGCGATATTATTGGGGTACAATGTTACTTATATTGCCCATGCCCCCATCCCCCTCGAGTAAAGAGCTTTAAGCATGTCCATCCCCCAAACTGAGTATAACTTTTGACTTCACAAAACATAACTATTAATAGACTACTGTAGCGTTACCAATATAAGTCTATTAATACATATTTATATTTTATATGTTTATATTCTATATATTATGATAAATAACTAGAGAAAAATGTTATTATAGAAAGTAATGAAGGCAGCATTGTGGTCCATACCTATAATCCTAGCACTTTGGGAGCCCGAGGCGGGCAGATTGCTCGAGGTCAGGAGTTTGAAACCAGCCTGAGCGAGACCCCATCTCTACTAAAAACAGAAAGAAATTAATTGACCAACTAAAACTATATATAGAAAAAATTATCCGGGCATGATGGCGCATGCTTGTAGTCCCAGCTACTCGGGAGGCTGAGGCAGTAGGATTGCTTGAGCCCAGGAGATTGAGGTTGCTGTGAGCTAGGCTGATGCCATGGAGCTCACTCTTGCCTGGGCAACAAAGTGAGACTCTGTCTCACAAAAAAAGAAAAAAGTAAGTAATGAAGAAAATATATTTACTATTTATTAAGTGGAAGTGGATCATCAGAAATATCTTCATTTTAGTTGTCTTCCATATTGATAATGCTGAGGAGGGAGGAAGAGGAGAGGTTGGTCTCACTTCTTAAGGGTGGCAGAAGAAGAGAAGGCAGGGGTGAAAGGGGAGGTAGGAGAGGCAGGCACACCGTGTAACTTTTATTTGAAAAAATTGGCATATAATACCATGCACTTCAAGTCTGTGTTATTTAAGAGATAACTCTATTTTGAACTACTACATTGTCCTCTGTGGTTATTTTCTTTTATTTTTTCATAGAGCCAGGTCTTGTTATGTTGCCCAGACTGTCTTGAACTCCTGAGCTCAAGTGATCATCCTGTCTTGGTAACCAAAGTGCTGGGATTACAGGTGTGAGCCACCACACCTGGCCTTTGCAACTATTTTCTGCTTTGTTTCAAATGAGACCCTGAGGCCTTCTTCTTCTGGGTCTCAGAAGTTTCCTTCTTATGTGTCAGAATTCAATATACTTAACAACAATTTGTTATTCTGGCTTTGTTCCACCCACTGCCCCCTCCCCCAAAAACCCTTAATAAGGAGCCTATTCTGAGGTACCAAAGAGAAGCCCTGTCTTCAAAAGATGGAAGGTGAAAAAGACAGCAGAAAGGGGAAGATTCCCTAAGACTGGGAAGTGGAGGAAGGTTTTGTTCCCAAGAGTAGCCATGGCCAGGTGCTGCTCCATCACAGCACACCTCCTGTTGTAGGCAGGACCTGCGGACATTGGCTGCTTCAGGACCCTCAAGACCAGGCTGTCAGGCTGGAATTACATTCCCTGGCTGGTAGAAAAGATCCAAGCCTTTTGGCTCAGTGGCCATCCCTTTTAGACTTGACTTTATCATTGGTGACTGCTGCTGGCTGAAGTCCCAAAGGCTGTGCCTCAGTTTTCTGCTCCCTATGAAACTCAGGATCTTTGCATAATCTGAGGTGTTGATAAGTAAGAGGGAATGATTCTCAATAATTTTAGAAGTTGATAATGTCTGAGAAGAATAGGGAATTGGATTTTAATGTAAGTTAATTTTTTAAAAAGTAACATTTCTTATATTCCCAAGAGTGTAGAATAAATATATACCCAGTTAAATAAAAATTGAAAATTCTGATAAAATATCTTGACTTAAAACTGGTATCTTTGGTCCAGGGCGCTGTGGCTCACGCCTGTAATCCTAGCTCTTGGGAGGCCAGGCGGGCGGATTGCTCAAGGTCAGGAGTTCAAAACCAGCCTGAGCAATGAGCGTAGACCCCGCTCTCTACTATAAATAGAAAGAAATTGGCAACTGATATATATATAAAAAATTATGCCGGCATGGTGGCGCATGCCTGTAGTCCCAGCTACTCGGAGGCTGAGGCAGAGGATCGGCTCGAGCCAGGAGTTTGGAGTTTGCTGTAGCTAGGCTGACGCCACGGCACTTCACTCTAGCCTGGACAACAAAAGCGAGACTCTGTCTCAAAAAAAAAAAAATACTCTTTCTTCTCTTACTCTGCCTGTGTCAGATATAACTGAAATGTGTATCTTGCTTTGCCTTTTCAGCAAACTGTAAGTCAAAAAGTTCAGTCGTGATCATTATGATTATTCAGAGAGAGAAGATAGAAACATTTTGGGAAATCATGTACCACCTTCATGTCAGAAAATAATGAAATTTAAATGGGAAATGTTACATTCAATCCACCAAAGAAAGGAATTGAGGCCTGACTACCAAAGAGCTGCCTCTCACCTCTGAACGTGTTCAGCATGTCGAGGAGTCCAGTGATGCGCCAGGACGTGAGCTCTGGGTTCACCGGCTGGGGCTTTTGCGCCTGCACTGACTTGGTCCTGCAAAGAATGGCATCAATTACACCACAGGGCAAGGGTAATCACGCATCATTACAAATATACCAGTTTTTAATTCAAGATATTTTATCAGAATTTTCAGATTTTTATTTAACTGGGTATATATTTTATTCTACACTCTTGGGAATATAAGAAATGTTACTTTTTAAAAAATTAACTTACATTAAAATCCAATTTCCTATTCTTCTCAGACATTATCCAACTTCTAAAATTATTGAGAATCATTCCCTCTGTCTACCTATCATACCACCTCAGATTATGCAAAGATCCTGAGTATGTCATAGGGAGCAGAAAACTGAGGCACAGCCTTTGGGACTTCAGCCAGCAGCAGTCACCAATGACAAAGTCAATGTCTAAAAGGGACTGGCCACTGAGCCAAAAGGCTTGGATCTTTTCTACCAGCCAAGGAATGTAATTCCAGCCTGACAGCCTGGTCTTGAGGGTCCTGAAGCAGCCAATGTCCGCCGAGGTCCTGCCTACAACAGGGGTGTGCTGTGATGGAGCAGCACCTGGCCATGGCTACTCTTGGGAACAAAACCTTCCTCCACTTCCCAGTCTTAGGGAATCTTCCCCTTTCTGCTGTCTTTTTCACCTTCCATCTTTTTGAAGACAGGCCTTCTCTTTGGTACCTCAGAATAGGCTCCTTATTAAGGGTTTTTTGGGGGAGGGGGCAGTGGGTGGAACAAAGCCCAGAATAACAAATTGTTGTTAAGTATATTTGAATTCTGACACATAAGAAGGAAACTTCTGAGACCCAGAAGAAGAAGGCCTCAGGGTCTCATTTGAAACAAAGCAGAAAATAGTTGCAAAGGCCAGGTGTGGTGGCTCACACCTGTAATCCCAGCACTTTGGGTTACCAAGACAGGATGATCACTTGAGCTCAGGAGTTCAAGACCAGTCTGGGCAACATAACAAGACCTGGCTCTATGAAAAAATAAAAGAAAATAACCACAGAGGACAATGTTAGTAGTTCAAAATAGATAGAGTTATCTCTTAAATAACACAGACTTGAAGTGCATGGGTCACTTATATGCCAATTTTTTCAAATAAAAGTTACACGAGTGTGCCTGCCTCTCCTACCTCCCCTTTCACCCCTGCCTTCTCTTCTTCTGCCACCCTTAAGACAGTGAGACCAACCTCTCCTCTTCCTCCCTCCTCAGCATTATCAATATGAAGACAACTAAAATGAAGATATTTCTGATGATCCACTTCCACTTAATAAATAGTAAATATATTTTCTCTTCATTACTTACTTTTTTCTTTTTTTGTGAGACAGAGTCTCACTTTGTTGCCCAGGCAAGAGTGAGTTCCATGGCATCAGCCTAGCTCACAGCAACCTCAATCTCCTGGGCTCAAGCAATCCTACTGCCTCAGCCTCCCGAGTGGCTGGGACTACAGGCATGCGCCATCATGCCCGGATAATTTTTTCTATATATAGTTTTAGTTGGTCAATTAATTTCTTTCTATTTTTAGTAGAGATGGGGTCTCGCTTAGGCTGGTTTCAAACTCCTGACCTTGAGCAATCTGCCTGCCTCGGGCTCCCAAAGTGCTAGGATTATAGGTATGAGCCACCATGCCTGGCCTTCATTACTTTCTTAATAACATTTTTCTCTAGTATACTTTATCATAATAATATAGAATATAATACATATAAAATATAAAATATGTATTAATAGACTATGTTATTGGTAATGCTACAGTAGTCTATTAATAGTTATGTTTTTGTGAAGTCAAAAGTTATACTCAGTTTGGGGGATGGACATGCTTAAAGCTCTTACTCGAGGGGGATGGGGGGCATGGGCAATATAAGTAACACTTGTACCCCAATAATACGCTAAAATAAAAAAAGTTATATTCAGATTATTGACTACTCAGTGAGGAAGGGGTTGGTATGCCTAATTCCAGAGTTGTTCTAGAGTCAACTGTATAATTATCATCAATAAAAGAATGACATCAGAGATTATTAGTAAACTCACCATTCTAATACATTTCCCATATCCTGCAAAGAAAAAAAATATTATTAATCATGAGAATATATCCTTCTGCATCTTCTCTGATATTCTTTATTTTTGTGTTTTAATAATATATTTTTTCCTAGTACCCTTTAAGGAACCATCCAAGGATATGTTAACAACAGAATCTAAGCTGACCCATGAGGGGCTTCTTCAGTACACATTAAGAAGGAAGGAGCTCAGGAAGGGGCTGTGTAGTGATGCAAGGAGATTGAAGTCCCCAGTGTCATTCACCTCCCAGTCTTATTCCCAAGGAGAGGGCTTACACATCAGACAAAAATTAAAGCAAAACACAAAACCATATAAAAACAGAGTGTATTGAAATTGCTTACCAAATTGTACAAACCTTACCTAAGTAAGCAAGGGGCAAAGCTTCTATGCCTTCACCAACTTGCTTTTGTGTGGGACAACAGAGAGTGATGATGGATTAGGAGACATAAATTATTACCCCCAAAAGTTAAACTTCTTCTGCCCTAGAGGTTTGCTGATTTTGGATAATCTTTCTATGTGGCTAGTGCTCCTGATCACACTGAGGAGAATTTTGTCCTATGTTATCTATTAATAATACTGCAATGACGAAAATCTCCCAAAAATAAGCAGTATCTGCAGAAATAAGTGGTTGGACAAACAGAATGGTGGGAGTCAAGGAGCATGTGTGACTCAGCTAAGTAAGTACTGGTATCAGCAGGTAACATTTCAACATCCTGGCAAGATCGCCCAGCAAAGGATTCCTGTCTCAGGATGGACCCTCTCTCTCCATACCTGGAGCAACTCCATGTCTGGCTTGTGGCACATCTCAGCCAACAATCTGTATGTGTCTTTCATCTTTTCTTTCTGTTGGGTCATTCTCATTTCACTGTCTCTGAGTTGTTGGAAAACCCCCTCTGCTTCTCTGTTCAGTGTTTCCAGGTGGAGTTGCTCCTCCTCATGGAGAAACTGATGAATCTTCTGATATTCAGCTTCAATCATCACCTTCCTCAAGGCTGCATAGTCCTGCAGAGATATTCAGTTAAAAGGATTACATGCCCTCACTCTCAACAGAAAACTCAAAACTTCTGATATCATTTCTTTAGCATACTGAAGCAAGTAATTTATAAACTTTCTTGCTCACACTTGGAAAGGGTCTTGAACATTTGTTACTCACTTTTTTCCATCCTTTCTCTGCTCCTCCTAGTCTCTACCCCTGTTTACATCAAGATCTCCAAGGGGTCTCAGGCTGTCCTTGCAATCCTTCTTCAGGGATTTTATTCCAACAATTATTTCCTCTTACTTCCCTCTTGTACCATGGACTGATTCTTCTAAATATTTTGTAATATTTAGGTATACACTCTTATGCAGATTTTTTTTTAAAAAAAATTACTCTATTTTCCTTCCAGGTAGTACTCTATTTCTCTCCTCTCCTTCACAAAAAAACTTAGTGCCATGCTATCTTATCCTCCGTGTCTGAGAAGGTTTATCCAAAACTTCAATGAATACCTATTATGCCTCACTTACACCACATATGTATGAGTAGTTTTTGCACTAGTTTGTGTTGGGCTGTATATCTGTGATTTCTGATATATAATTTGACACCACTATCTTTTTTCCTGTGTCAGCATTATGTTGATCTGCATAAAAACAAATAAAACTTTTTCCTTCTTACCACTAATGAATGGATTTTGCTAATTTCCTGATTTAAATTGCTTTGCATTTACTGAGTCATTTTCCATAAAGGGCCCATTTCCTTTAGCAGTTTCCTCTGTAAAATAACCATTAGCTTTAACGACAGAGAAAATGGTTCTGTAGTTTCCATCCCCTTATTAGAAAAGGTTGTGGCTGACAGAAGTCAAGCTTGCAGAAGAATCCAGTGTTCCTGGTGCTGCGACCTGCTCCACACATTTGGCAATGTTTCTAGGGAAACTTCCATTAGTGAAGGCTCAACACATCTATGACTGGAGTGTCAAATAGGTCAACAACATTCAAAGCGCACATCATATCTCGGGATTTACAGTGAACAATCACTACTTCCTCCTTTTCCATTCTCATCAACTTCATTATAAGCCCTCATCTTTCTCTCTGATTTAGGATCCTGTAGATTCCAAATGGCATCAGGGGCAACACTTACCCGGCACTGCTCGGCAGCCCATTCTATTGGAGGGTGGCCATGAGTCGCATGCTCTGGTGCCTCGGAGCAGGGCCCACAGAGCAGTGTCTTGTCAGCCGCACAGAAGAGCCCCTTCACTTCCAGGTGGGCCACACAGATCTGCTCCTCTGAGATGTGGCCCTGGTGAGGTCTGGCCGGCCTGGCAAGGGAAGCCAGCTTCTTGAGTACAAGATTGGTTTTGAAGTTTGTCTTCTCTGATATTTCCCTGCACTCAGGGCAGCTCATTGGAGTAGGGGATTCCTCCCAGTAGAGAGAGAGGCAGGGCCTGCAAAAGCTGTGCCCACAGTCTATGGTGACAGGGTCTATGAAGTAGTTCATGCAAATGGTACAGATAAGTTCACTGTGGAAGGTTTGCAAGGTGTCTGAATCCATGTTTCTGAAAATTAAAAAAATATATAAGGGAAAAGATTATTTTTTTGCCTCCTTGAGGGGAATAAAAAAGCTTCGGGATAGTTCTGTTTATCTGCTTGAGTTCTGTCCAATTTACCTATTAATTTACCCACAGTAATTTTAATAGATAATTTAATTACTATTAATTACCTATCTAATTTAATTACTATTAATTACCATTTACCATGTCTACAAACCTAGACATGGTACATGTAGACAGGCTGAATTTATATAGCTGTCCCATGGTAGCCATGGCAGATTGATTCCAGGACTCCCTGAGATACCCAAATCTAAGGATGCTGAAGTTCCTTATACAATATGATGTAGTATTTACATATAAGCCACACATATCCTCCTGGATACATTAAATCATCTCTAGATTACTTACAATGTAATGCTATAAAACTATTTGTTATACTGTATTGTTTAGGTACAATGACAAGGAAATGTACATGTTTAATACAAATGCTTCCCCTCCTCCTGGATATTTTTGACCCTAGGTTGGTTGAATCCATGGATGTGGAACCCATAGATATAAAGGGCCAACTGTATTGTGATACAAATTAGAAAATAAGACAAAAGATTTCTTGGGATCCTTGTTAAAACAAGCAGTGTTTGCAACCATACCTAAATTAATTAGATAGGCTTAAAGATTGGACGGAGGGTAAAAATGGGAAAGATTCCAGAGTTACTTACATTAGCTGATTGGTCCAGAAGCACATCTAAAATCTCTCTTTGTCTCTCTCTTTTTCCATCTCTCCTAATGACTTCATGATTGTAACATACAAAAAACAGTCTCTATGCTAATAGTCTAAGTCACTGATGGACTTTTCTGGGGACAGCTAGAAATTGTTTAGATTCAATTTAAGCTTGATCAATTTAGTCAGAATTAACTTTAACTATCAACTCCTAAAAGGATAAATAGCTGAATCTATGTTTCTGACTTTAGTATCAAGAACAAATATAAAAATTATCAATTATTTCTGGTTTAGGGAAACGGTTTTATCCACAGTCAGTTCAGATGATCAGACAGAACACTTTCACATTCTTAAATGGTGAATATTCAGCGACAATTAATTGTCTTTTGAAGCAAAAAGAAAATGAAGATAAACATTGAGCTTTCCTCTCCACACGGGAGATTCTAGAGAGGCAGTTAATGGAAACATGACCACCAATTCATCTTTATTTGCTATTTCCCCATAGTGGCCAGCGCCACTTCTTGGGAATCTTAACCAGTTGGTAGAATCTATTTTAAACACTTTTCAAATCTAGTCTGAAAACTGAAGGTTTTAAAGGGACAGCATATAGGACCTTTACAACATCATTTTTAATTAATTGAATACATTTAACTTTTACTTTGATTTCTATATACATAGAAATTATTGCTGCATGCATACATTAGACTGGACATTTTAAGTACATTGTGGTTTCCATAATTCCATAAAAACTTTGGAAATACATCTCGAGATTTAAAAATCTAGTGATATAGTAAGTAATCAAATAAAAATGATCAAACATATAACACAAACCAATATATTACAAATGCTCTAGTTACAGATACTTTACATTGATGTCATTTTAAATAACTAGGAAAGCTACTTGTTTGCTTAGACAAGACACTTGTGTGCTGGCAGGTTAATTTAAAGCATTTTTATAAGCATGAGGGGCTTTATTCTAAATTCCATATGTACCAGAGTCTACTATCAGCGATCTCACCTATGGAAGCTCTGAAAGATCTATCAACATCCAAGTCAGTAGGAACCCCTGGTTTTCCAAAGTCTGGCAACCACAAATTCAGTGAGTTTTCCCTGAAGAATAAGTCTGCTGCAGACAAGCTTGCTTTTCAAGTGATTAGACTCACCTAAGACCACATCCACTTGTGATTGGCTACTGTCTTGAGTAAGGTAGAAACAGCTGATTAGGTTACAAAGAAAGGTGTAAAGTTGGCTGATTAGATTACAAAGTATAAACAACCACACTTGGGGGCCAACATATTAAGAGAATATAGAGGAGTTTGGGAAGCGATGCAACAAAGTTGACCTGACACAGGTGGTTCAAAGAGACATTTAAACTAAAACAAATATTTCAGTAAACAATTTTTTATTCTACAAGCAATGACCTTATGATTTTTATTTATTTTTTTCTTTTTTTTTTCTTTTGGCTTTTTTCTACCCGTTAATCTGCTTCACTGAGAACAATTTTTAAAATTTGTTATTCTACTTCTTATTCTACTTTTTAAATGTATAATTGCTTGTTATGTCTCTAGCCATATTTACTTCAATATGTCCACAATAAAACATTAACTAGGATAACCCATACAACTGTATTGTGTAACTTTCTCATAAAAAAAAAAGTGTACTAGGGAACTCAATTGTGTTTTAAATAATTGTATATATAAGAGTTAGTGGAATTACTTGTATGAGTTTTGTTTTCTTAACTTCACTATTTTATGACTATTTTGTAATACTTGGCATATATAAAAATGAAATCTATTTTTCAACTTATGTACCTAAGTGCATAATTTTAAACTGCATACTCTACATATGTGAATATGTATGCACATATATGATATCTATATCAATATGTATGTCATACTAAAATATAATATGATATAAATACTAAATATATACTAAAATATCATATGATATAACATTACTTAATTATTATATGCACAACTATCTTTAATAAATAGTATATACATTTATTTTTGACAGGGTTACCATACTACCTATATTTTATTTTTACTTCTCCACAGTTTAATAAATCACCAATGTTTACATATAAGTTGTATCAAGAACTTATGTTTTGTGATTTAGGCCCTTTCAATAAACTTAAGAAAATTACTAATCTTACTAGACATCGAAAAAGAGAAAATTAAAATAAATGTCATTATTTAGATATTATGAGACTAAAAAAATTATAAAAGCCATAAAAGCCAGCATATCCTAGAAAAAAGTCAAGTGTTTGTCCTATCACTCAATGCATAGAGTTGTAAGTTAGTATGTATTCTGAAGTATTATTTGACCATCATTATACTTCCAAAAGTTTATCCCAAGGAGATTAGGGAAAGAAAGGTTATTATAAAAACATATGAAGACTATTCTCAGAAATTTCATTCTTTGAAAATTACCTCAAATATTTCTTTTTTTTACAATGATTTTGTGCCTTATCAAACATTTCTTAAAATGTCGTATATTGTCTACACAAGTATAGAGAGGAAAGACTTTCTAGTACTTTTACTTTTTAGAAAAACTTCAATGATCAGTTGTGTAGGATGCTTCCTTAAGTGCTGTAAATGGTGTTCTATCATGAGAGTGGCTTGTCCAACATTTGCTTGCAGCATCATTTCCCGGATTTGTAATTACTTCACACGGTATGTAAAAGTCCTATGAACCAGGCTCTGTGACCTCATCTCTACTGCAAATAAGAAAAATAATAGCAATTAAGTGGTTGTTATTCTTACTGACTTTTACTAAGTACTATACTAACTTCTCATTTTCCTTCCCTTAAACCCAATCTTTAAAGATAAGTAAGACAAAACCCCTTGAATCTGGCAATTATAGATTAGTAGGGAACATGAATTCATATATAAAAAATAAAATTAATAGCAGCTTTCATAAGGAAGAGGAATCTACTGTGCAGAACTGAAGAAGAAAGTAGACTGAACCCCAGATTCTCCCACTCCCCACCCCCAATATTTTCATCGCAAAAGACCCCTAAAGAACAATGATTTAAAAAGGCTTGCACACTAAGCCTACCAAAAAAGAAGAAAATATCTACCCTCTGTCATGTGCTAATTTTAGAACATTTGGCAGATGTGAATTCATTAAAGGGTATGGACTTAGCTTGACACAAACCTAACATAAACATAAATTTAAAAATGAATAGTTGACAAAATATGTCTTTCCTAGGCTAAGGAAATATTCACATCACAAATATCAAGCAATTTAGAAACAAATACAGATGAACCAAATATTAACACTATTTTCAGAAAAACATTAACAATCTACTAGGCTAGAGTTTCCCATGGAAGATCAGCTTGCACTAGGTTGGCTAAAAAGGACCTGAAGTTCATCCATCTAATGTAACAGGGCTTGAGACAGGTGGTGGATGTTTCGAGGAGCCAGGATATAAGCAGGAATATATCCATCTAGACTGCTATATGGATTTTACCTGTGTCAGGCTCCTATCAAATTTCAACACCTCAAAATCATTGCCATTTTGTTACAGGCAAACAGTGATGAATACTAGGTTCACAACTGTATTTTGGGGGGACACAGGTGGTGAGTCTCTTCACCAGAAGGTGAACAAGAAGTTTTAAAATTGCTGTAAGTACAACTGGACATTTAGAAATAAGTATGAATGCATACTTAGGAAAAACAGTTAAAATCAAGCCCACCTGGTCATGTGGTTTTGGGCTAATATGAGCAACATTTTATCATCATATTTTTATACATGAATGGCACATACACAAAGGGGTAATATTTATTGGAAGATTTACAAAGGAATCAGACCCTAAAGTCAGATATCAACCTGGCATTATCAATATCCTGTATAGCAAGAACCTGAATGCAACAGTCACAAGGTCTTTTAAAACTGAATTTCAATGCACATTTCAAAGTATTTTAGAGAATAGCTATCTTCAGAACATAGTATATCTCCTCATATGTCTGGGATGTGGGTATTGCTAACTATCTTGCTAGAGATGCAATGGAAAATCATTGTTTTTAAGTATTACTCTTTCAGAAGTACTCAAGAAACCCAACTAGGGAGAGGGGTGAGGTGAGGAAGTGGGCAAGAGGGGAAGACTCTGCTGACTTGGTGGAAACTGGGTAGTTCTCTGTAAGTTTTCCATTTTTTCTCAGAATTGAAAAGGAGCTCACTACCTTTTAAAACAAAAAATAATTCCATATGCTAGGTAATGAATAATGAATAAAATTGTGTTTTATTGAATATATACGTCCACTGTGGAATATAAGTCCACCAGATCCTAAATGAGCTGACTCACTACTGATGGAGTCAAAAGCTGACAAGGACCTTTGCAGACAGATCTTTACACCCTGTTCCTACTACTAGAATTTATCATCTCTCTTCCACAAATGTCATCCTTCTCCCCAGTATTGTAGTACTTTCATCTATGCCTTTTAGGTGCAAAAATGATTGAGGTGATGAGGCTAATTATGTAGTAGTGAATCCCCTTTAGTATTGTGGTCTCTTACTCTATAGAGTTTTAACATCTTCTCAAAGCCTCTGCCACACATGTACATTTTAAAATCAACTTCCCAATTTTTACACACACGCAAAAAAAAAAAAACAACAACTCACAGTTTGACTATTTATTGGAATATTTACTTATAAGTGTATTTGGAAAGAATTGATATTTTTACCACAGTCTTCCAATCTACAAACATGGATATCCCTTCAATTACCTATATTTTAAAATGTTTTTTCAGCCAGGCATGGTGGCTCATGCCTGTAATCCTAGAACTCTGGGAGGCCGAGATGGGCAGATCACTCGAGTTCAGGAGTTCAAAACTAGCCTGAGCAAGACCCCGTCTCTACTAAAAATAGAAAAAAATTAATTGACCAACTAAAACTATATATAGAAAAAATTAGCCGGGCATGGTGGCACATGCCTATAGTCCCAGATACTCAGGAGGCTGAGGCAGTAGGATCGCTTCAGGCCAGGAGATTGAGGTTGCTGTGAGCTAGGCTGATGCCATGGCACTCACTCTTGCCTGGGCAACAAAGTGAGACTCTGTCTTAAAAAATAAAAAATTTAAAATTTAAAAAAAAGTTTTTTCAAAAATGTGTTCTACTTTATATACAGAGAGCTGTACAATTTTATGAGATTTATTTCTAGACATATAATGCTTTTGATGTTTTAAATACATTTCAAATTTCATTCCCATTTTTCATTGTTGTTTAAGAAATACACATGATTAAATTTCTACTTTAATTCACTAATTAATCTAATAGTTTATCAAGTTTTGGAAATTTTCCAACCACACAATAGTGTTATGCTGCTAAAGTGAATTATGATAGCTTTATTTCCTCCCAAACCTTACATGATTTCTTTCTTTTTCTTGTCTAGTTGCACTGAAGAGGACATCTAGCACAGTACTGAACACGAATGGTGGTAGCAGGGTTTTTCTCTCATTTCCATTTTAAGGGGGAAGTTTTCAAATTCTCCATTAGATATGGGATTGGCTTTAAGTTTTTATATTCTTACTACATTATAAAACTTTTTAGTTTTGTTTTCTTTTATTTCAGCATATTACGGGGGTACAAATGTTTAGGTTACATATATTGCCTTTGCCTGCCTCAGTCAGAGTTACAAGGATGTCCATCCCCCAGATGGTGCAGCACCCCAACTCTTAGGTGTGAATATACCCATCCTCTTCTCCCCCTTCCATCTGCCCGACACCCCATGAATGTTATTACTACATGTGCACTTAAGTGTTGATCAGTTAATACCAATTTGATGGTAAGTACATGTGGTGTTTGTTTTATTCTTTCAAGTTTTGAGAAAATCTCTAATTTATCAATATTATTTTCATCTACGCTATTTTCCTCAATTTTAATTTCAAATCAGGGAGTTGGCCTCAGAATGCCAATAAATCAGGTTATTAACCACAATAAATGTTTCTCCCATCTGTCCTACCTGGCTGTGCTTTACACAATGAAAAGAGGTTGTGAGTTAGGTCTGACATAAATAAAATTTACAGATTCCTTAAACAAATACTAAAAGCTACTATAGGTAGAGTATATAAAACCACCATAGCTTCATTATGTTTCCCTTTTGTTGTGCAGACAGTGCATATGGATCCACAATAATCTCGGAATTTGCCACTGGAATCTGCAGGTTGGTTAACGCCTTAATTCCTTTAATGAAGTTTACTTTGATTAAATGTCTCTGTGAAAACAGCCTTTCAAGTTACTGCTTCAAAATAATTTTAGAAGTTTCACTCAATGCCTGTAAAACGACCAATCAGAGTGGGAGGTGAGTGCTAAGACTCCAGCCACAAAGCCCAACATCTGCAGCGCAGGACTCTGGAGAGCACAAAAACGCTCAGGGTTCCGCAGTAGACACCAGAAAGACGCCCGCACATGCGCGTTGCTCTGCTTTCTGAGTGCGCCGCCTCAGAGCTGATGCGTGCGCATCTTCAGTCCCTCACTCTCGCGGTCCGCAGATCTCAGCATCCGGTTATTCAAAAGTTCCGGCAACGCGCATCTTTGTTTTCATTTTGATGGTAAAAGGGAATCTTTCCAAATCAGTTTTTCCAGATTGGCACAAAAGAAAGTTGGGAAGCACGGTCAGTTATAAGACTAGCTGTGGAAACGGGAAGCCTTTTCTTGGAGAAGAATAGTAGTGTTGCCAACCTGTGAAAAGAACTAAATATTGAATGCCAACTAAAATGTTCGGACATAAAATTATTTTACAGATGTCTTTCTGAAAATAAATATGCAAGAATAACATGTTGATGAAATACTACAGATGCCAAGACAAAATGATGTAGAAGTTTGATACGGACCAGAAATGGCAGGAAATAACTGTAGTAAAGAAACTCTTGCAATAGAATTGTTAGGTCAAGCTTTTATTCTGTCAAGGTTGTAGCCTCTGAATGTACCAGTGCTCTCTCTTGGTCCATGTGCTAATTAACAAACAACACTCCCATACTTTTTCATCATTTAAAACCCTAAATCAGGTAGTCACTCTAATAAATGAAATCACCCCAAAATTTCCAAGCTATTTATTGATCAATTAGTAAATATTATTTAATCTCAACAAAAAAAACTATTTGAGGGGCAATCTGGTAGTATTTATAAACATTTACATGCACAGGTGTGTGTGTATATAGAATATATCTGAGAAGATTGCATTTATTAGGAAGTGGCTACCTGGATTAGAATTAGATTGGGCTTTATTTCTGAAAGAAGTTGGGGGTGTTGTTTTTTAAATATTACATATATGTATATAAATAAATTACAAAATATATACACAAATACACACACATATATAGCCTGGAACATATTTACATAAATATATTAAGCATATATTTTCATTACTATGGAAAATTCTGTAGATGTACACAAGGATTTAGGTACAAACATGTATATTATTGCATCATATTCAATAAAAATAGTTTTTTGGAATATGGGAATAGTTTAGCAAACTAGAATACCTTCTACTAAACACTATAAAAACAAACAACTGTATATATTGATAATGAACAATTTTCCTTTATATATTATATAATAACTGCTTCTATTTTCCTCTAGCATTTTTATTATGGATAGATAATGAAACATAGAAATGAAAATAATTCTCTCCACAGAAGGGTAAAACATTAAAGTTGAAAATATGCATTGGTCTCCTGGTGAGTAATCTGTGTGCACTTAATATCAATTTATTAATTTACAATGATATATATTGTTAAATTTAGCAAAATATGGAATCATGAAATAAATACCATATGTATTCCCCTTTTAGAGAGAACTACGTAATAAATTGATTATAATGACTCAAGTTGATTTATTTTATACTTATATATATTTTTATTTCAAAATATCACTGGGGTACAGATGTTGAGATTACATATATTACCTTCGCACTGTCCAAGTCATAACTACAAATGTGCCCATCCCCAGACAATGCATACTGCATCCATTAGGTGTGAATTTACTCACCAACTCCCCCGTCTCTCCTGCCCGACCCTGACGAATACTACTTGAATGTGTGCACTAAGTGTTGATCAATTAGTATCAATTTGATAGTGAGTACATTTGGTACTCCCCCCCCCATATTTGTGATATTTCACTTAGAATAATGGGCTCTAGCTCCATTGAGGATAATACAAGAGGAGTTAGTTCACCATTGTTTTTTGTGACTGAGTAGTAGTACTCCATGGTACACATATATCACATTTTATTAGTCCACTCATGTATCGATGGGCACTTGAGTTGTTTTCACATTGTTGCAACTGTGAATTGTGCTTCTATAAACATTCAAATGCAGATGTCTTTATTAAAGGATAACTTTTTTTTCTTTTGGGGTAGATACCTAGTAGTGGGATTGCTGGATCAAAAGGTAGTTCTACTTTTAGTCCTTTGAGGCATCTCTATAATACTTTCCATAGAGGTTATACTAGTTTTCAGTCTCAGCAGCAGTGTAGGAGTGTTCCTATCTCTCTGCATCCACACCAACATTTATTGTTTGGGGACTTTTTGATAAAAGCCATTGTCACTGGAGTTAAATGATGCCTCATTGTGGTTTTGATTTGCACTTCCCTGATGATTAGAGATGGTGAGCATTTTTTAATATGTTTGTTGGCCACCAGACTATCTTCTTTTGAAAAGTTTTGATTCATGTCCTTTGCCCACTTTTTAATGAGAGATTGTTTGATTTTTTCTTGCTGATTTTCCTGAGTTCTATATAGATGCTAGTTATCAGCCCTTTATCATATATATAGCATGAGAATATTTTCTCCCATTCTGTAGGTTGTCTATTCACTCTAATGATAGCTTCTTTGGCTGTACAGAAGCTTTTTAATTTGATCGGGTCCCATTTATTTACTTTTGTTGTTGCTGTGATTGCTTTTGGGGTCTTCTTCGTAAATTCTTTGCCTAAGCCAATGTCTATAAGATTTTTTCCCAACATTTTCTTCTAGAATTCTTGTGGTTTCATGCTTTAGGTTTAAGTCTGTTATCCATTGTGAGTTGATTTTTATGAGAGGTGAGAGGCGCAGACCCTGTTTCAGTCTTCTACAAGTGGCTATCCAATTGGCCAGCACCATTTATTGAATAGGGTTTCTCTTTCCCAGTTTATGTTCTTGTCTGCTTTGTCAAAAATCATATGGCTATATGAGGATGGTTTTTATCTGGGTTCTCAGTCCTATTACATTAGTCTATATATCTATGAAATTTAATGGCAGATAGTCTAATCCATAAGAAAATAGTAAATCTGAAGTTCCATTTAACAACGCTTCTTTTTGTCAGATAACATTTGTGTATGCAGTCCCAAAATGTTGCTCATTTATTCAGCATTATTATAAAAAGCCACAAAAAGATATTATTTAATAGCTCTTCAACTCAGTAAGAAAAATACAAACTATCTAATTAAAAACGTCCCAAGAGATAAAGATTACGTTCAATGAAAATGAAATAAAACAAGAGATAAAGAGGTTAAACCATTGAAGAAGAAATAAAATAAACAGTTAAATATGGGAGGGGAATTGCTTAGACCTATTTAAAAACATCAAAAAAGGTAACATTTTAATTGCATAATTATAGTTGGCAGTATACAATTTAATGACTGCTTTCTTAGGTGACATTTCTCATAAAAAATATGTGGATTACACAGTTCACAACTGCAAAGGTGTGGGAACAACCCAGGTGCCCATCAATACATGAAGGGATTAATAAAATGTGGTGTATGTGTACCATGGAGTACTATTCAGCTTTAAGAAACAATGGTGATATAGCACCTCTTGTATTTTCCTGGATAGAGCTGGAACCCATTCTACTAAGTGATGTATCTCAAGAATGGAAAACAAGCACTACATGTACTCACCAGCAAATTGGCATTAACGGATCAACACTTAAGTGGACATACAGGAATAACATTTATTAAGTGTCAGGCGTGTGGGAGGGGGGAGGAGGAGCACGGGCAATATATGTAACCTTAACATTTGTACTCCCATAATATGCTGAAATAAAAAAAAATATGTGGGTTGAAAGAATCTGGGTTTCAGGAATGTGCTTTCTAATATCTACTCCACAAACACTCTGCATATTCCTATATTAAAGTAGAATTCTTATTTTTTATATTTATGTAACTACCATGTTTCCTCAAAAATAAGACAGGGTCTTATATTTATTTTTACTCAAGAAGACACCCTAGGGCTTATTTTCAGGGGATGTGTTATTTTCCCCTCAAAGCCTCAGTTTGCAGCATGCACAGGATGGCCAGGACCTGACAGGGAAAGCCGACCTTATTGGTGGGGCTGCCCACACCTTTCCGGTCACCTCTGGGATAGTAGCTGTCACGATGGGGCAGATGAGAAGGGCTGCTCATCTTCTTTACCACTCCATGATGAAATGCATGGGTTGTGCTTATACAATGCATAGCCACACCCATCACTAGGTCTTATTTTCTGAGTAGGGCTTATATTGCACAAATGCTTAGAAATCCTGCTAGGGCTTATTTTATGGGTAGGTCTTATTTTGGGGGAAACACGGTATATGTTTGCATCTCCTATTCCTCTTCAAGGAGTCGTTGGCCCTGGGGCTGAACTCTATGGATTACATCACAAGATTTCCCTTCCTTTCTGGTTTATAGTTGTGTTGTGTTATTAGGGAACCCCAGAGGGAGATTGGTAAGAGGAGAATGATATCAGAATGTTTATTTTCTGGGTTCCCTCTTTCCTGTTCACTTGAGTTCCTTAAAAGAAGGTCATACTTTAAAAGAAGGTCAGGACTCTTGTTGAGTAGCCTATATAACTCCCTTTCTAGGCGTCTGCATCCTCTTACTCCACTTGTTTCTTTGTGCCTAAAGGAGGTGAAAACACAAGAGGTGCTAACCCTACTTTCTGCACAATTCCTTGGTGTTTCTATACACAATAGTTATTTAGTTCATAACTTGGATTCCAATACAGGCAAGAGGCTGGGATCATGAGAACTATTAGAATACCTAGCATTAGGTTGGCAGGCATCAGGAAAGAAGATGAGAAATCTACTCCTCAGTACTTATTTCTATCCTGTGCTATAAAAAAATAAATGTTAAATTGAAAAGAAACATTCAAAATTGGCAATCTACTGTGTGAGAAGGAGATAGTAAGCCAGATATGGGAAGAGTAAGGGGCAAGGATTTTCTGCCTACTGTATTTAGAGAGTGGTGTAGAAGAAAATGTTCTGTTAACACTTTGCTAAGCAAATGTTTTGAAACCTAGCACCTATGATACTGTTTTGCAATTGCTGGCTTTATTATTTCCTAAAGAAGCTAACCTATTTGATTCTTATTGATATGGGATACCTGTCATATAGCAAATGTCATATGGCAGAGAATGGAATATTTAATTCATGCAAGAGAGAAATAAACCTCAGGAATGTAGGCTTGAACATTAGCTGAGAACACAAACATAGAAGAAATGATATATGTTTCTGTGGTTCTAGGTGAGCCAATATGCTGAAGAAATTGAGGATTTTCAGAGTTGATGACCTGGGATTGATTCCTGACTCCCACCCATACAGGAAATGGGACCATAAAAAAATGTTTGAACTTTATGTGCTTCAGTTGCTCATATATTAAACTGGGACAGTGGTACACATATTTCCCATTGTCTGTGGGGATAATGGAAAGTACCTGGGACATCATAGCCCATGTGTCAAGTTATTTCCTTCCTTTGTCCTAACATATTTCACTTCACACTGAAGTCATAGGGAAGGACTTTGAGGAGAAGATGACTGGAGAAAATGTTTCCAATTTAACATTTATTTTAAATAGCACAGAAGAGTAGATAATAAATGAGGTAAAATAAAAGGTAATAAATGTGAAAGGTATTAAAGAAAAGATGGCCTTGGACATTCAGAGGCCAGGTATCATAATACAGGTAGTCCCCCGGTTACAGACGACTTGATTTATGGCTTTCTGTATTTATGAATGGGCTCCCAAGGATCCTCATAAAGATAATATATAATTAAAGAATTAAATTCATTATTCGGGAACTAGTTTCTTCTGCCCATATAAACAAACCCGCATGCTGTAAGTGGTTTGTTGGTGCAGCATCATTACACGAGGGCTAGTCTCATTGTTTGTATGGTCACTTATGCACAGCATCCCCCCTTTTTAAAAATTTTTTTTTTCTCTTTCTAAATACTATGAAGGAACACAGCATCACTTTTGTCCTAACTTTTTTATTCGATTTTGTGAGTCTGTGTTTACCCTTATGACTATCACCTCCAAAACGAAAGTCCACTGCCAAGTCCAGATGAGCCTGCAGGGAAGAGAAAGGTAATTACAATGAAAACAGAAAGGGAAATAATTAAGTTTTCAGAGAAAGACCAGATGCCATCATTCACTGTGAAAGCATTAGGCTTTTCACTCGCTTGACTATTGGAACAATTATGAAGGATAAAGTAAAAATAATGGAACACGTGAAAGGCAGTACTCCATTGAAAGCTCAGTTATTACTAAGCAGCGTAGTGAATTAATTATTGTAATGGAAAGATTATTATAGATTTGGCTAGAAAATCAAAATAAGCGTAACAATGCTATTGGCCTAGGAATTAAAAGAAAGAGCACAAAAGTTTCTGTAACATATTATTATAGTACAGGGGTATTATTATTACAGTATTACACTGTATTATTATTACCACATATGAGTCATTATAGTATTGTTATTGTTACTATTACCATATGTAAGCTGTTCATCAGGGATCCAAGTTACATACAAATCTGACTTAAAAATGTTCTCAGGACATATCTTGTCCATAACCTGGGGACTGGCTGGCTGTATAATTTATGAGAAAATTAATGAAGTTTAATAGCATGGCTAAGAAATTGTGCAGATGTCTCTTCATGTGAGCAAATAAAACAAGAAAACAGTTAAAATGTCAAAGAAGTTATAATTGGGTTTTAAATGGTATTTATCCTAGAATTGCATTTTCATAAATAAGTATTCAATATTTCAAGAATTAAATAAAGTCAGTTTTCTACATTTATCAAGGAAGTTCAGATAGTTTACTAAACCCAGAACACTAAGCTTTTTGATATTGATCAATATTTCAATCCAACATTGCCTGAACACTAGGCATTGTACTGATTGAACTCAGATTAGGGAGAGAACCTATTGCCAGATTATCAGGCATGGAATTTTTGTTCAGTGAAAAATTTTGTAGTGGCAGTAGATTTGAGTTTCTAGAATGTAAACAGAATGTCAGGTCCAAAAATCTTCTTTATTGACAAAAGAAGCAGTGGGATTTGTGGAAAGGTTCAAAATTGGTTAGTTTTCTTCATTGACATAGTATATTGTTCTTCCTCATAGTCACCTCTATTCCTCTCTGGGTTTTGTTAGAACTTACTTACTTATTTGTTTATGAGATGGATTCTCCCTGTGTTGTCTAGGCTGGTCTTGAACTTTGAGTGATCCCCTGCCTCTGCTTTCTGAGTAACTGGGACTACAGATGTGGTCCACCATGCCTGGTTTGGTTAGGACTTTTTGAACCTAAAATATGTCCACTCTGAAAAAATTTACATCCTCACATTTATTTTATGGATTGAGATTCATGTAGGAAAGTGAGTTTCATTTATAAAGCAATTGTAAACAGAAGTAGGGCTAGAACACAAAATTTCTGATTTCTGATTGCTCCAGACTTTGTCTGCCTGAAGCTGAGTGTTAGGGTGAGTGGATGACTGGGTGCCAAAAGTGGGTGAAATGAGACCGGAAACTACCCTCTCTTTTTTTCTCTCTGTTCCCAAATTCTTTCCTGATACTCTTTTATTTCCTGACTTTTCTAATAGTCACCAGACGTTGTGATGCATTACCCCAGCCCTGCCATGGAGCTCGCCATCTCAGCAGAAAATGTTTGCGTGGTCCAACCCACTACCTAAGGGCCTCGCAGGTTTCCCACTCATGAGTCCAGGACTGAGCCTCCAGGGCTCCCACACATACCTAGGACATATCCAAACTCTTTGTGGACACTTGGATGAACAATATTTGTTGAAAAACAGAATGTAAACCAAAGGCATTCTCTCTTTTTGTGGCCTTACATAGTATGCTAACCAATGCAGCGCAGGCAGCTCGAAATATCAATGAAGTGTTTGGGAAGAATGTGGATAATGAACATGCATCAGTGGTTTGAGATGTTCCATTCTGGTGATTTTTATTTATTTATTTTTTTTTATTTTGGCATATTATGGGGGTACAGATTTTAAGGTTTTGATAAATGCCTCTCTCCCCCTTCCCCCACAAGTCTGAATTTCTAGCATGACCATCCCCCAGATGGTGCACATCTCACTCATTATGTACATATATA